ACTCCCTAGATAAGATCTCTTTCTGGGAACTGGCTTGTCCTGCAGGGGCTCTACGTGAGTCTGTCCCAGAGGGTCTTTTCAACAAGCTGTCTTTTGAGCCCCTCTGTGGGTAGGGCATTGTTTCCTTCCTCCCTGCCGGCCGCCTTTGCTCTTCTCTAGAGTATTTACAGGTGATCACATTTTTCTTTTAAAACGTTTCTTTCTGTTTTTTGAGACAGGCTTTCCCTATGTACTTTGGGCTGGGCTTGCGTTCACTTTATAGCCCAAGCTAGCCTCAAATTGGGGCGATCCTCCCGCCTCAGCTGCGATTAAAGGCGGTTGCCATCACTCCTGGCTTAAAACATTTCTCATCTACTTGGATTTTCCCTTCTGCCCTGTTGGAAACACACAAGACTTTACCCTTTTGAAGCCTGGGACGCAAAAGCATCGGACTGAATCCCTCCTGTGGGCCGTGGAGGTGTCGGGTGGGACTAAGCTGGAAAACAATCAGGCTGTGCTCAGCAGGATCAGGCCTCCCTATACCTGTCCAAGCCAGACGACTTGCTTCGTCCTGCCTTAGGCGCTGAGGCTTGTTACCCAGGGCGCTGTGGCTGCACCACAGATGTGGGAAAAACTAAATAAAATGCGAGAGAAACGATTTTAGCCAATGACAAGGGTGAAGACCCTGGACGTCCAAATGCTTGCTCTTTTCCCAGAGCTCCTGGGCCGCTTAACTTATCTGGGCCTCCGTTTCTTCACATGCAAGGTAGGGATAAGTCTTTATACTTCCTCAAAGGAAAAAACGTGACACCAGAGCTGGATATATTTGTTGGGTAGATATGTAAAATTCTTAGCACAGGAGAAGAATGGAGGAGAAAATCAACAGCCACATAAGTTTACAGAGATGCTTTTGAAAATGTTTTTCACTGTTGCCATAGAGCCCTGCTGTAGTCTCTTATCTGCCTGGAGCTTATAGAAGAGAAGTAGCTTTCCTAAAGTTGCACAGCTACTAAGGGGCTGAATGGATGTGAAGCCTGGCCAATGAGAAGGGCTTTCACTTCTGTCTCCACTGCCCTTTTTGCCAGCATTTCTTGAATTTTGTGCAGAATGTTGTCTGCCTTCAAGTGCAGCCTTTGTGCCATATAGTCTAATCTAAATGCTGTGGCAGTGGGTGCTTTTTACATAATGCTTTCCAAACCTGAAGCACCCGCCTTCCCAGTGGCTTATCCATATTTATAAATTCATGTATGTGTACTGTTACATTAGTAAATAAGTGGAAATCTCAAAAGACAAGAACAAAGATAGCAGTTACACTAAATATTTTTTACTGATTCTTTGTGATCATCTTGTATACATTGTGGAAAATAGCCCTTGCTGGTTTGATCAGTGCCATAACCTTTTTCTGTGCTGAATGTTAAACTGAGACCCAGAGCTATATCGTGTGTGGTGTGTGTCTAGCTCAGATGCTTTGGTTCTGCTCTGTTCCTCTTTTATTTTCTTGGAACTAGTGATTGACTCTGCTAACTTCCTGTGTTCCACTATACTCCTCTGTGGCTCATAGTAATGAGCTTAACGAGTGGGTAATAGGGAACAGGCAGAATTGCCTGGCTAGCTTCACTCATAATCCCTCCTGGACAGCAGGCAGGGATGAGTCCTGCCCCGTATATGTCACCTCACACTTACGATATAAATCAGTGAAGCTCCCACTGGTCATTTCCTCCCTTTTGGGGCTTACAGGAGGCTGATTTGCTGAGATGGCACATGCGTGAGAGTGCCAGGCCCGAAGCCTGAGGTCAGCTGGTGTGGTGGCCACTTAGGTATCTCTTTGTTCCCATCCATCTACCTGAATTTGCGTCAGTTCTTGAATAGTTTGAAAGGGACTTTCATGTGCATTTTCTTCTGTAATCTTTACAGCTGCTCTGTGAGCGAGAAATAAGTCATAGTGACCTTAAGGTCCAAAGAAAAACCAAAAGTCACACATGAGCCTTCTACCCTAAAACATGCCACCACCCTTTCCAGGATGATATTGGAGAATTGAAGAAAGTCAGATCAAAAGACCTTCTAGCCCATAGCTTAGCCCTCCTTTGACAGATGGGAAAAATGAGGCCAGAAAATAGGAGAATTTTCTGAGGTTGGCTGTCACAGAAGAGTTGAGGTGGTATATGAAGTTTTTAACAAGATGATTTTTTTTTTCTTCACACCTCTGTGCCCTGTGCCGTCTTCTACCCACCCCACATGAACAGAAGTTGTTCAGTAGGAGTCTTAATAGTTGGATTAGATATGACATGACAACTGAACCCCTTCTGTGAATGGAAACAAAATGAAATTATGACCTTGGAGAAGTGACTTGGTTTTCTCTGTGAAATAGAGGCTTTGCTACCCCTGGTGGCTGTGGTGAGTCTGGCTGTGTGCCCTGAGTCAGGATATGGTGGCTATTTTTAGTTGGAAAGACCCTTTGGGTGGCTATTTTGGCTGTACAAACTACAGCGTAAATAGTTCCAAGATGATCCTTGTCCAGTGCTGAGCCATTCAGGGATTTGACCCAACTTGCCTCAGAGCTAGGTCAGCCCCAAATCCCCCATAATCATTTTATGGCTTCAAGGAGCTCAGCTTTGCCCAGTCCCTCCTGGTCACAGGGTGTCAGGGCCCCAGCACCAAGGGTACAGACATCTAGCTTCGCCCTCTGCCAGAGTAGCAGAGCTGGGGAGGCCTGGAACAAGGGAGAAAGTGTGTGGCATTGGCTTGGGGCCTGCCGCCTCCTTCCCTCACCTCACTTCTAGAGGTGACAAAGCCACTCAGTCTGATAACCAGTGTCCCCAGGATGACAGGTCAGCAAGGCTCCTGGCTGGACTCTTGGGCTCAGAGAAGCTGTTTTCAGGCTGGCAGGCCCAGCCCTGGCCACCAAGACAAACCTCCAATTGTTACTTTCCTCCGAGGGAGGGGTGGAATGGAGCTGGAGGCTCTGTCATTTAGCCACCAGGCCTGGCAGTAACTAATGAATAAACATTGGGGTTTTGTAGTAACTGAGCCAGAGACTCCCAGGCCTCAAACCTGGGTAGGAAAAGGTAGGAGTTACCGCCTCCATTTTCCTGACTTATCTCCTCAGGGCCTCTGTACCCTGGAAACAGAGCTTTTGCCACCCCCAGCTGATAAACCTTTGGGTACCAGGGCCTCTGCTGGACAGAACAGCTGCCTGAATTGCTTGGGCCAGAGCTTTTCCTGTCCTGCCCAGGAGTTTGGAAGAGGGTAGAGAAGGGCCAGTATCAGAAACAGCACTCCCATAGGACATGTCTTATGGGAGCTGGGTCCTCAGCAGTAACGAATATTGACACCCACTCACCTCTCTGGGTCAGTAGCTCTGAGGCTTACTTAGGAGTGCAGGGCCTGTGCATCAGACTTGGAGTACAAGTCCATCACTGCAGCAGAGTGTGCCCCAGATGGTTCAGATGGCTGTCAGCAAGGCCCTCTGCTGGAGAAAGGGGGAAGTATCTCGGAATGGGCAGCCTGGCTAGAGGAAAGAAAGAGACAGCCTCTCTGTATTCCTTGAGCTCTCAGCTGCTCCATAGCATGAAGTGGCCTTCACAGCTGTGCCACAGTTCCCCTCCAGGGTCCTGGCCTCTGGTGCCCATGCTGCTGTGGGCTCACCTTGCCTCCCTCCCACAGCCGGAGGTGCTACATGTGACATGGGCCCATTTGCCATATAGCTGAAGCTGATCAGGAAGCTCATGATCTCTCCCAGTGGTCATGGCTCAGGCCATTGCCCTCTATGGTATGGTGATGGCAGTTGTCAGTGCCAATGCCCTGCATGGTGACGCCA